GGCATATAAGAACAATGATATAAAAAGCTAGTTAGGTAATTAAAAAAATGTGCAATTACCATAAAAAAATAAAAACTGCATATAATTACAATAAGTAAAAATTAATGAAAATAAGGATCTGTAAAGCTGCTTATAACGGAGGTATAGTACAAACATAGCCTGGCCTGTTCACAAATGTAACACGAGAAACAAGTTTGCATGTGTACTCTAGTGCGCTAATTTTAGTCGACAACAGAACGCCGGAAAACAGGAAGTAACATACTAAAAGTGTTTCGAAACTCTACAGAGTTCAAGAGCAGGTAGTATTGATTGTTTTTACTACACAGCAATAACTAAATAGAATAAAAAACAACGTAACATCAAAAATATTACAGTATTTTTAGCCGCTGTCATTGAATATGTAAGTCATATTTTATTTGTATATACTTGTTCTTAGTACTAAGTGCTTTTCAAATAGAGAAAACAGGATTTTCCCGCATTCGAACATACGATTTATATATAGTCTGTTACTTAATTTTAATTTAAGCTATGTGTAGGCATGATTATATAGTATTATATACATGTCTTTTGTACTTATTATGACGAGAATTTTGGCAATAAGTTGTTTATTAACAATTAGTTGTTTAAGTTACATATGGTACGTTATACCTTTAGGTATAAGAAACTTTTCTAATATGCACAACTAAGTAAAGTTCTACCCCAATTCCAAGGATAATCTGGCGTGTACAGGAAATTCGATTTAACAATGCATTTGACACGCTCGGATGGGCTTGCTACTTTTTTGTTGTGAGGAATAATACGAATACTTATATAATAATTATGCAAAACTTCGTTCACATGAACTTTAAATCTTAGTATAATGATTTTAATTTCCACGGTCTTGTAAACGATCTTATATATTTGTTGTGATATTGTGTTTATTAAGACCTTCAAATTATAATTAAATATGCAAATATCATCATAATTGTGAAATCCCAACAGTCTACATTAACGTGGCGTAGGTTTTCAAATTAAATAAAATTATCTTTCTTCGATATAGATACCACCGGTTCGGAAAATCAAATCACTGATCTGAGAATAACCGGCGAAAGAAACTCGAAAACATTTTTTTAAAAGACAGACATTTTTGAAAGACTTTTTTTTACCATTATGTGTATTTTCATTAAAGTTCACTTGAAAGAGCCAGGAGCGATCAATACATTTCCAGGGTTTGTTATCATTTAAATAATCCTTACTAATATTATAAAGACGAAAGTTTTGTATGTGATTGATGTTTGTTACTCTTCCACGCAAATACTATTGAATGGATTTAAATGAATCTTTACGAAAATACATCAGAATAACTAATAGGCTATAATTTATATGCATATTTTTATGTATATCTGTCATTTTGTCTGAATATTACACCTTCAGCCTATTCTACGCAGACGTATCCGGGCAGGGGCTTGTCATTAATAAATATTATAAATAGCATTTAAAACACAAACTTTCCTTTACATTCTTTTTAATTTAGCAATTTATACATAGTCAATGTTTTGTAGTACTTTGTTATAAAAATGTATCATAAAAACGTATATAACATTGTCCCATAAAAAAATTACTTACTTAATCTACGCAGTCTAGAAACCGGTAGAGTTATGTTTGTTCCCAGTATTTATATCATGCGCATTACCATGTGTTGAAAATTCATACATATTTTTATGGACATATATCATTTTTAAGTATGTACTGAGAAGCAACAGTCAATATTTTAATCTCTGAAAAAATTTCTTAGTGATTCTTTGGCACCCAGGTTTTAAACTGCTCGAATAGCTCTCTTTTGGAGGATGAAGATTTTATTTCGGCCGCTTTGTGCTACAGCCTGTTTTTTATTATGTAGTCTGCTTAAAAAGAAACAAAGAAAGGAAACCGCCATGTTGGGTTTGACCCTTCTATATCTATAACCAGTGAACGACGCAATGAAAGAAAATTTGTGGAAGATATGAAAACAGATCAATTGAATGGATTTAAATATCACTCATATATCGTGGGAATATATTTTGGTGCCGGTCAGTGCAGTTAGTTACTTATTGCTAAAGAAGATACCATACATACATTTTGGTAGGGCCACATAACTGACTTCTCTGTTGCATGAATGGGCAGGCCCGTCCAGAGAAGTACCACGACCACGCGTAAGACTGGAATGTCTGGAGTAAAAATGTTATAATTCCGCGTTTCGTCTGGTGAGTGAGGTAGATGGGAACCACGAGTGTTGCAAATGTCCAAGGCAAGGGTGGCGCGCTTGTCACCATTCCGCATAAAAAAAAAACTAAAAAATATGCGCGTAAAAATATATATTTTGGCTCCGCATGTATATAAATACTAGTGTATAATCTAATATTATGCCATCATAAAATCATGTTCCCATTTTATTATTATTTTTTTTATTTATGCTTTATTGCTGACCTAAAGAAAAGTAACTAAGGGTGGACCTGTGTCCAAAAGCATTTTCTACCGGACAACTAGTGTCCAAACACATTTTCTACCGAACAACCATAGTGAATATAGTTTAGCCGTTACACTATAGTTTTATCTTTCCAGTAATTTCTCTGGATAGCTTTGATAGCCAAATACATACATACAGAAACAATTAATGAAACGGTACCTAATAAGTTCCACTGCAGCTTTATTCTTCCTGGATGGAAATACTTTCTTGTACATGGAGGCTGAATGCCAGAAGTTTATCCATTAGTATCTCTGCGAAGACGAGACTAATCATCTCACCACCATTCCGACTACATTCAGAGCCTGGTAATCCAAAAATCAATAAAAGAAACGTGCCAGCGAACCATGACATTTACATGAGAAGCAGAGCAATTAAAGCAGTTGGACAATTGTCTGAAACTGGTTTCTTCTATGATTCTGCAAATTTAGTCCATACGTATCCGAGATCCCAGGGCAGCCAGACGTCATTTCGGCCTTAGGTTAGAAGTTGCTAGTGGAAGCAGGTCATGGGTGAAAATTTTATACCGTGAATTATATTCCTGTTTCCCTGCGTTTCATTCATTACCTTGGATCCCACAATGACTTCAACTCCAATCCATGTCACAACAACTTTTAACACTTTTTAATAACAATAAAAATTTTAATTTCAAGAATTAGTGGAAGAAATTTAGCATAAAAAGAGTTGGACACAATTGCTTGAAGGCAACTAAGAGACTCAGAAAAAATGGTAATGTTTCCCATTTGTACCGGGTGTCTTTTGACCTAACAAAAAATTTTATTCGTTAGAGAAAAAATCACTAACGATATAATCAACAAGCAAAATGCTCTAGTCGCTTATACTTTTTACAAAAAAATATTTAAAATATAAATATAATATAAAAAATAATAATATGATAATACCCACGAAAATAATAATTAATAATACCCACGAAGGCCAAGGCGGGAGCGGAGCTCTAACCTTTTCTTTTTGTTAACGTTGGTAAAATGTCTACGCATACCCGTCCACGCACACTTCCGCGACCCTGCCAGTGCTGGCCGCCTCAAAAGCCCCCTCCCGGGTGTTATGTATCACTATCAGTAATCGGCAACAGGTAAAATAACAGAGCATCCATAATTTTGAACCTACCATCAAATGCATATAATCATTTAAGCGCCTGATTATAATTGAACAATTATAGCAATTGGCCACAAAATTGCTATTTGACATACAAGATTGATAACATACTTTACACCGGCGAGCAACTCCTCCAGGTAAAGCGGAAACTTTCAGAGCGTCTTCCTACTCGGCCGCTTTTTACGGCCATTGAACTCCTCCTAGTTCGCTGACCAGAGAAGACCATAAGCCCGTGCCATTAAGGAGCAAACCTCCCAGCCCCCAACAGTGGACTTGGTCTGTGGTTCACCACTATTCGGCCGTGGAGGGTAGGGAGAACGGCGCACCGCAATACGGACACTCCTCTCCCGCCACGGCGCCACCACCACTGCATTAGCGCTGCAGCATCGCTCACCTCTACTACCCTTGCCTAGAGTGGGCTCAATGAGCCCACTCCGAGCGGCCTCTCAGGCCCTGCTTACAGAACAGACCGACCCAGTGGGTTCCTGTTAGCTTCGCCATGGGTGACCCAGCCACGGCTACTGAGCCCCTCCACCAAGGCAAGGCGAGAACTCTTTGTCGGATCTGTGACTCTTTAAAAAAATTATTGAACAATCGATACGATTATAGAGGTCCATTCACTATCCTGACTGGCAGTCCGCCGTGTAGGACTGCGAAGCAGGTTGTAGCTCACACACTGTCCTTCTTAGCCGTCCATCATTAGTACTGTTTCGTTTCTCAATAGTGTCGGTGTTCTTGTAATTATTCATTTACGTGCTATTTCTAACAAAAATGTATTATTAGATAAAATTAAAAAAGGTTGTGACAAAATAAATTATTAAAAAATCGTCAGAAGAAGTGTTGTTGTGCCTGTGATAAAAAATAATGGCGGATTTTCTTTAGTTTTAAATATTCTTTTTCTCAAAAACTATAAGCGACCAGAGAATTCTGCTTGTTGATTATTTCATTAGTAATTTTTCTCTACCGAATAAATTTTTTTGTTAGGTCGAAAAACACACGGTGCTTATGGGAAAAAATACCCAACAAAGAAGCATCCGTGTACATAACAATCCACTTAAAATAGATAATCTGTTAATAATTATTATACTGCCAACTGACAAAATGACAATGACAGACAGCAGTCAGGTCAGACAGATGACAGATCACTGATCAGCCAATTTCACAAAAGAGCGTGTTTAATTTATACACGTGCGCTGTGTAGTGTACTAAATTTATTTAAAAGAATGATTACGCTGAACGTTATGAAATTGTAAAACTGTATTGCAATTAAATAATTATGTTGAAACCAAAAGACTTAGCGGACGAACTTCCAGGATTCGAAACACTTAACAAAAATGAATCTACAGAAAAGAGCTCGAACGAAAACAAAAAGAAAAAGAAAGGTTCCGGGGGTTTTCAGTCAATGAGTTTTAGTTTTCCTGTACTAAAAGGTATCACAAAGCGAGGCTATAAACAACCAACGCCTATTCAACGAAAGGTAAGTCATTTCTGTATTACATTTTTTAATAACCTAGTAAGTTATTTATTTATATATTTTGTGAATGCTTATGAGGGTGGCATAATCATGTATGTGTGTTAAACCCTCCTTTAAAAAAATAAAGAGTAAAAAAAATTTACCTCAACAAAGTAATTCGGACTCCAACTCGAACACACCACATAGTATATATTAATGCGATTATCTTACATTTAAATTTTACGCGTAAACTTTTACAGACTATACCTATTGCTCTAGAAGGTAAAGATGTTGTGGCAATGGCTCGCACGGGATCTGGCAAAACAGCCTGTTTTGTTCTTCCAATACTGGAAAAGCTATTACTGCCTGCTCATAAAGCATTGCCAGGGAAAAATCTACGAGCACTAATTCTATCTCCTACAAGAGAATTGGCATTGCAGGTATTTACATAAAATTTCATATTTATTAAAGTTTTTAGAAACAAGTACCAAAAGTTTTTCACTGATGAGGGCATCGGACCTCCGTCTTCGGGATTCACGCTCTGACGCTTTAGCCTCTAAGCTAAATGGCTGATCGCCACATGATGATTCATGATTTATCTACATTAAAGTATTAATCATAATTATTCCTATTTAACCTACACTTCTCTGATTTTAATTAAATTTTATTCAAGAGCATATTATATGTTTAAGGTTTAATTTTATATAAGAATTTATGCCATCTCTTACAAGCTTTATTTTATATGTTCTTGATTGCATTTTGTTTTCAGACATTAAGATTTGTGCGTGAATTGGGCAAATTTACTGGGCTGACATCTGCGGCAATCCTTGGTGGGGAATCCATTGAGCAACAGTTTAGTGTGATGTCAGGAAAAGCACCAGACATTGTTGTGGCAACACCTGGGCGTTTTTTACATATTTGTATTGAAATGAGCCTTAAGCTAGATAATATAAGTAAGTTCTGATTTTTGAATTATTCCAATTCAGATATCATTTACATAAACAGATTTAAGGTTTAATTCAATATAGTACTGAAGTTTAAATCTCGGGGCCCTGTCCTATTGTTGGAAAATATCCCAGAGTTAATAGTTTTATAATGATACTGCCATTATATTGTTAACTCAGGATTCTATAGGATTCAGGATTCTGTACTATATTGTTTTACTTATTTCTGAAATCTTAAATTTGCCATTCTGTTTTCTTTATCTTTCGCCTTCAATTACAATTATGTTCTTCAAAATGGCACCTATTATAAAATGTCTCTAATTTTTAGAGGTAATGGTGTTTGATGAAGCTGACAGGCTGTTTGAGTTGGGGTTTGGTGAACAATTAAGAGAAATTGTGGCTAGGCTGCCTTCAAGTCGCCAAACTCTATTGTTTTCGGCTACACTACCCAAAATGCTTGTGGAGTTTGCAAGAGCAGGATTAACGGACCCGGTTTTGATAAGATTAGATGTCGACTGGAAACTACCATCAACATTATGGTTGGGTTGGATATCTGTGAGGGCTGAATTAAAAACAGCTGCATTATTGCTCTTGCTCGATAGAGTACTCACCTCTTCAACTCCTCAAGCTGTTGTTTTTGCGGCCACAAAGCATCATGTAGAATATTTACATCTGGTAAGTTACATGCACCACTGGATTATGGAGATTCCTGGTTCTGGGCAATGTTATATTTGTAACGCGATTACAACAAATAACAACCTGCAGCAACTTAGTTTTGTTGATGATTTATAGCAATATAAATACAAATTATGGTAACTTTTTAATAGGTGGTTTTGGAGATTATCGCCACATGCACAGAAACTCGCAGCTCTCAATACTACTGTTGGCTCTGTTGATGTACATGTCTTAGTTGGACATAAATATAGTGAAAACCGTGCTAAAATGCCTGTATTCAATGCCAATGGACGCCTTAAAATTTTCAAAACATTGCAAATTCAAAAATTAATTATTTATAGAGGTATCTAGTTTTGCCGTAATCGAAAGTTACATAACACGCTACTTCTGTTTCAGATACTGAAGCAAGCTGGTATATCGTCGACGTTCGCGTACTCGGGCCTCGATCCGTCCGCTCGTAAGATAGCGTTAGGGAAGTTCATAAATAAGAAGTGTTCTGTGCTGCTTGTGACTGACGTAGCGGCGAGAGGACTGGATCTTCCCTCGCTAGACACCGTTATCAATTACAACTTCCCCGCAAAGCCCAAGTTGTTTGTGCACAGAGTTGGTATGTTGTATGTTACGTGTCTTATCTTGCTAGTGTTACTTAAACTATTGTATGGTTGGATTCAAGCTTTCTATGACAAATGGTAGGCTCATACTTGATCAGTTCTTGTTAATATTTTGACTGTTGACTTATATATGATAGAATTTATGCCAACTACAACCAGCCTATAAAGGATCTCCGTTAAGAACGTTAAAATACGTTGTGGCGGTGGAAGTTAGAAAGAAACACATTTGCACACAATATATCTTTTTGTTAATGGGTTGATTCGGTCAGAATAATGTCACTGAAACCCGCTGAAAAGAGTGAAAAGGAAAAACCGGCCAAGTACGAGTCGGACTCGCGCACGAAAGGTAAATAAACATGCTTGTTATATGGGAGCCCCGCTTAAATATTGCTTTATTCTGTTTTTTAGTATTTGTTGTTATAGCGTCAGCAGAAATACAATATCTGTGAAAACTTCAACTACTACTATCACGGTAAATGAGATACAGTTCGGTGACAGACAAACAGCGGATTGTTAGTAATAGGGTCCGTTTTAGCATTTGGGTACGGAACTATACGAATGAGGTAACCGGAGTTTCCTATACCTACAAGACTACGCCTATCTCCCTCCGGTGTAATCGATGTCCACTTGTTTAACTTTCTAAAACGGTGAAATATTTTCTGTACCAGGCAGGAGCGCCCGCGCTGGCAGAGCTGGTAGGGCGTTCTCCCTCGTCGCCGCCGAGGATGTCGCCCACCTCCTGGATCTGCAGCTGTTCCTCGGAACGGAACTCTTGCCTCCGGGACAAGCCCACGGGGAGGAGTGTCCCAGCGGCGTTTGGGGAACCATGCCCACGGAGCAGCTGGAACTGAGGCACCAAAACGTCATGTCCTGGGAGAAGAACTACTCGGAAATCGTTAGTACTCCCAGTACAAATGCTGTGATATCAGCACTGTTTAACATATTTAGTTATTGTCAGTTAACATATTTTACACTGTCCAACACGTTGTATTGTATTTTGTGTAGAAGTGCCACACACAATACAACACAACACAGGAAAATGTAATCCTAACGCCTAATTCCTACAGTAAAAGTAAAAAGTAAAGTAACAGCCTATACATGTCCCACTGCTGGGCAAAGGCCTCCTCTATACAGAGGGTATCAGGGCATAGTCCACCACGCGGCCCCACTGCGGATTGGCGGACTTCACATATCTTCGAAATATATATATTCTTTTGAAATATATATATTTCGAAAATATGCAGGTTTCCTCACGATTTTCCTTCACTGCGGAGCACGTGATAAGTCAGCACTTAAAGTTAAAAACTTCATTGGTGCCGGCGCCGGGGATCGAACTCAGGTTGCTCGAATATATTGAATTAAAGGCGAACGCCCGGACACTGAGCTATCACGGCTCTATTCCTATTCTATTCCTACAATAAGTTGTTGTAAAAGTAGAAGACAATCCGGCTCAAGGGATATTCACACAGCATGCGCACGGATGTTGGTAGGAGGAGGCCAGTAGGGTGTGCGCGCGCGGTTGGCAGCAGTATGTGAGGTGGCGCGAGCCAGCCTCTGCCGAGGCCAATAGGCGGGCGAAGACCACCCCCGCGCCGCCCCACCCCCACCCCTATTTGCTCACCGCCCCCGCGCCGCAGCGCACCCTGGACCTGCTGCAGCAGATCAACTCCTACCAACCCAAAGGGGTGAGTTGGGCCCTCCTAAAAAAAATATCGTGTTGTTTAAAAACATCGTGAACTACCAAGATACTAGTGATGTTCCGGATATCCTTGTCCGTATCCGTTATATTTTTGAAGGATCTTTTACCTTATTAATTTTCAATATATTGATTCAATTCTATATGTAGGTGATTAGTTAGTATGAAAATACTATTAAATTTCAATCCAATTATTTGTTATTTCTAAAAATCAAATATTTGGCATCTTTATTTTTTGCAAACATTTATTGTGGTGAGTTAACGTACCAATAGTACGTAACTTAAAGCAGTGCCGGATTAAAAAAGCGCGGGCCCCGTAGCAAATACTTTCAAAAAAAACCCATGATCTGCTATGGATGTTTAACTATAAATTGGTAAAAAAAACAATATGGTTTTATATATGAGAAGGTGGAAAGCAAGTTGATGGTTCACCTGATATTAAGTTATAACCGCCGGTTACAGATGCGTTGCAACCTTTTAATAAAATGGGCCCCGGCTAACTCACTCACCAGAAGAAACGCAGAAGTATGACCCTTCCACTTCACGCTGGTCTTAGGTGAGGTCGTGATACTTCCGTGCACATTCGTGCAACAGCTGTTTCGTGACCCAACCACATTAAAATTTTGGCATTTACTTATTCCCCAGACAATATTGGAGTTGGGCGGCAAGAACGATTCTCCGATGTTCCTAGCCATGAAGGCTAAGAGACGTGTGCACGGGAAGAAGGTGCAGAAAGCGCGCGAGAGCAAACATAACGAGGTGAAGAGGCTTATATATGCTGAACTATGTAGTAATTTATCGATGTGTAACAATACATTTATCAAATGATGCAATTGATTTTTAGAAGGAAATCTGAACTTTGTAATAATTTCTCGATGATTAAGATACGAGACAATATATTTATCAAATGATGTTTAAAAATGTGTCCTCCATTTTATATAAAAATTTATAATGAATTAGTGGATTACACAGAATTCTTAACAATATACGTTATGAAAACTTTAAACCCTAATATAATTAGGCAAGTAAATAATTTATAACTAACTGGGTACTTGAGTATACATATTTCGGAGAATGAAGTAGATTTATTTCTTGTACGATATCGTGGCTGTCGATTATGTCGTTATTCGTAAGAATCAGCGCTCACAACCCCGGCGCGGTCGATCGCCAGACGTTAGTGATGGTTAATCGCTTCACTTGGGTCGGACCTAACTGCTGACTCAGGGATATGATCGTACGGCATTCACATTCGCTCATTCACTCTTTCTTACAATATACACGGCGCAGAGTACTAAGAGGCTACCATAGATGGAACCACTTGTATGAAATAACATTATTTCGAAATTTCTCTCGTACATATATTATATGTCATTAATATGTTGTATATTTTTTGTTGTATATTTTCAGATGGATAATATATTAGAAGATACGACAAATTTGAAACCTACAACGAATGCTGAAAACGCTCAGTCAAAGAAGAAATCCAAAAGCGTTGTTGTTCGCGACGAGAATTACATACCACATTTCGCTAGTGACCAACATACTGAGACCGGGTGAGTATCTATTATATTTACGATATAATTAAACTGCTCAAGTGAATATCTTCTTTTTCTAAAAAAAAAACTTTACATATTAAAATAAAAACAAATTAACGAAATACCCGCGAACGTTTCTATAAAAAAAGTTTATTGAGAACTAATCAAATCAAATCAAAAGGGCACTTGACTGTAGATTTTAAAGTAGCATCTTTATGAAGCGACCAGAAAATTGAAGACTTCCTCAATAAAAGGACAAAACTGCCCGAATAGAATTGTTTTCGTTTCAATTGAAAAATAAAAGACAATGTTGTTCCTCATTAAAAAATAATGCAAAACTGGCTGCATAAAATGGTGTTTTCTTTATTTATTATCATTAATTCTACAGTTTAACTTCTTTGGGATTTTTCCATGCAGACGTCATTAGGTATACCGCCATTCGGTGATTTCAGCACGTAATAAGTAAGCACTTAACAATATTAACAATTTCATTGTTACCAGCCCGGCGATCGACCTCAGGCTTCTCGAGCATGTGGAATTAAAAGCGAACGCCCGGACAAATCAGTCAGACTATAGCCCCAGTCAGACTATAGCCCCAGTCAGACTATAGCCCCAGTCAGACTATAGCCCCAGTCAGACTATAGCCCCAGTCAGACTATAGCCCCAGTCAGACTATAGCCCCAGTCAGACTATCAGCCCCAGTTAGACTATAGCCCCAATCAGACTATAGCCCCAATCAGACTATAGCCCCAGTCAGACTACAGCTACCGATCGAGCCGAGGTCCGGCCCTCTCGGGCACCCTCGAATCGGAATGCTAAACGGGTATTGAGGTCCCCTGTCGGAGGCAATTGAGCCTGGTCACTCCATGGAGCGTCCGCCAAAGCGCCCTAAGAGCTTGTTGGCCTCACAAACCGGTGAGAATAATAATAATAGCGTGACGATAATAATAGCCGAGGCTCCCTCGGGAGCTAAGTCACCGAGGTCCCCTAAGGCCAACAGTGGGTACATGCTGCTAAAAAAAAGAAAGCCCGGACGGAATGAGTACGAAATTCAAAAATGGAACGCAACGCGTTGCAGCATGGCGGTGAACTTCGCGGCGGGCGCGTCTTCCGCGGAGCTGGAGCTGGGCGCGGACTGCAGCGAGGGGGCGCGCTCCAACCGCGCTCACATGCGCTGGGACAGGAAGCGCAAGAAGATGGTGCACGTCGACCCGGTGCGTCATTGTTTTTGTTATTATTTTTAAAAAAAATGCAGGTTTCCTCACGACGTTTTCCTTCAGTATCTACTCATTGCTGCATCACAAAACAAAAATGAATCTTATTCTATGGCAAATGTAAAAGATTTAATCCTCTTATACAGATATCAGTTTTAAACGATACCTTATTGCGTGTGTAGTAAGGACGAATTCCCTTCGGTATATTTCCATCGCGTATGGCAAATTGCATTCACTCCTGTTCGTGTTAGTTTTAAACGAAACATTATAGCGTGTTTAATAAGCACGAATTCCCATCGGTCTCTCAATCACTTACGACAAATGGAAACGAAACAAACTAAAAGAAACCCTAAGGCTTGTATAACAAGGGCGAATTTCCTTCGCAGGACGGCGGGCGCAAGATGATACGGACGGAGAGCGGCGGCAGGGTGCCGGCCAGCTTCCGCAGCGGCCGCTACGACGAGTGGCGCAAGAGGAACGCACAGCCGGACGACGAGGAGCCCGAGGCGAACGCCAACCGAATGAAACCGGGTACATTTGAAAGTCAAATAATATTTATTCAATATAGGCTTAACTTAAGCCCTTATTGAACGTCAACAACAAATTTACCACCGGTTCACTAAACTAGACCTGAACGGAGACGAACTGGCAAGAAAGTCTGCGGTCTTGTTCTTTTTGTTATTTTTTTTTTTTGATGCGATTATACAAATTTATTTAGGTATAAAGTCGACAGCAGCCGAGCAGTCTTGCAAGTGCAGAGCAAGAGTCATTTCCACACATCCTTGTCGTCAATGTATTCATGAACGTTATAGTAGGCCATTGCCTTTAAGGGAGGTTTACGGCACTACACTGGACGGCGTATTGTTAAATGACCCGCCTCTTGCGCCAGAGGGTGTGGGTTCGATCCCCGCACTGATGGAAAAATATTGTGTGATGACCATAGTGTTTTTCCAGTTTCTGGGTCCACAAAAGTAAAGTATGTTTAACAGTCTAGTGCTCATATTACAAGCATTGCTTAGTTTTGGGACTAGATAACTTTGTGTAAAAATGTGTCGTGGAATATTTATTTTAAAAAGGTTGCAAGTTGGCTGGGGGTTCACCTGATGTTAAGCGATTACCGCCGCCCTTGGACGTCCACAAGAACTCCGGGAGGGCCCCGGCTACCTCACGCGCCAGATGAAACGCGAATGTATAAAACTTCTACTTCACGCCAGTCTTCTGAGACTGCTCATTCGTACAGCATTTAACGAAAGCTTAATCAAAAACATCTTTTATTGTCGTTGCCGTATGCTTTATATTAGTCTTGCGTCACGCGCGGTAGCAAGTGGACGTTGTCACTTTGAGCTGTCAGTCAATATGGCAGCTAGTACGTTAAAATGTGCGTCGTGTAATGTTGTTATAAACGAGCTTCTTGCTTTCATCCAAAACAAGCAAGATGTTATGGACGAGAAATCTTTAGTGACTTTGTGCCTGTCAAGTTTCTCGGAGGAGGATATTGATTCTGCAAAAAGCTTATTGTTTACGGCGATATCTCAAAGAAAAATAGCCAGAAAGAAGGGAAAGAAATCAATGAAGGATCTGTATGATGTTATAGCGGTTTTTAAAGAGTCAAATCCCGACGAATTACCTGTGTTTGTGGCGAAAGACTTACAAAAATTGCCACCATTGACATTTGACCACATTGATGCATCAAGACTTCTTAAGGATTTAATAGTGTTCAAAACCGATTTACAGAATATCAAAGACACATATGTCACGACGACTCAAATGCAGGAGTTAAAGTCAGAGTTATTATATATGAAAAATGCGTCATTAGTTAGTCATGCAGATAGATTTGTAAATCATAAAAGAGGCGGTGGTTTGCATAACAGTTATTGTTTGGATAGTGGACCTATTGGACTTACCCACATGCAAACACATCAAGTCGATGAGTCATCATGTACCGGCGACGGCAGAGACAGCAGCGACGTTCACAACGATCCACCGTCGCGCTCACCCATATGTCAGTTGATGACAACGACATTGCAACATGATACAGGTGACATTACGGATCAACTGACGTTAGAAAAGTCAATGTCAAGATTGTCAAGGCGTCCTAATAATATTAATAATAACAGTGCTGTACAGAGTTCCGAGTTGGATTTAATGATGCGGCCGGAGAAATTAATATCTGAAATAGTGAAGGAGATACAGGATCCAAAGCATTGCAATAAAGATACTGGTAATGAAGAATGGAAAGTTGTTCAGAAAAAAACGGTACAGAAACCGGTTTGTGAGTATGCAAGGCAAAGCTTGTTCGAATTCCGAGGAGAAGTTTAGAGCTGCGGTTGTAAAGATACCGTTATTTATTAACTACGTAGATATAAATACAAAGGAGGAAGATATTATTGAATATATAAAAGTGAAATCTGAAATAACTGTGAACCTCAAAAAAATAAATACAAAGGAGCAAAGACAGTATAATGCATATATTGTATATGTGCCGAAAAATAAATTATCCGTGTTCCTGGACGACAGTATGTGGCCTGAAGGTGTGACTTTCAGAAGATTTATGAAGAATTATGGTAATTCAAAGAATAATGATAAATAAATATGGATATAGATAACTCTAGAGTAAAATTTATAACCTTCAACTGCAAATCTTTGGCAAGTTCTATTGAGGACATAAGATTACTGTGTCAGTCTGCAGACCTTTTAGCACTACAAGAAACATGCCTACTTCCGGATGATATCGCTTCACCTGGTCAAATCGATCAAAATTTTGGTTACTAACACTATATGGGTTCTTAAGCCTGAAATAAAAGATTTTTATTTTATTTTATTTATTTATTAGGTTGACTATCCTGATTTGGTTGGCTATCTTGTTAATATTCATACTTCACACCTAGATATCTACTTGTGTATAGTACAGTTGTCAAACTATGTTATCATTTGCATTTATCATTCTTACATGTACTGCATATGCTATATATATAGCTTTTGAAATTTAAAATACAATTTGATTTGTGCATATTATTGGTGTTTCCAATGTTGACGAAAGAATGCTCTTTTTACTTATTTTTTCATTGGCTTCTGTGTAAATTAAGTATACTTTCGTAAATAAAGTGTACTTTAGTATCATCATCCTCCTGCCCCTATCCTAACCTAGGTTGGGTCGGCATAACTTGTATATCATATTGTATATGGTTTTGGATATCTTTTACGGCGTCAACTCTCCATGGGAACAAACACCCACATCCGGGACAATTATTTATGGGTCACACAAATACTTATCCCGTGTGGGAATCGACCCACGACCCACGCCGCAGAAAGCAATAGCTTAGCAACGGCGCCATCGAGTCATAAGGGTACTTTAGTATTTAGACTATAAAGAGCCTAAACATTTTGTCTTGTTGTAGTGTCCGAGTTCCGTCCACATTGGGTGAAGCACAACGAACGTGTCGCCAAAAAGAAATCTGAAGCTTCCTCAAAGGAGTTCAGAGACAAGCAGCAGATCGTTAAGGAGAGACTGCGCAAAGAGAAAATCAAACAGAAGCTGAAATATAAAATGCGTTCGAAGAAGAAAAAGAAGAAGTGAAAGTAATATACGTTTGTGATCAATGACACTGTTTTTTAAATACAATGTCCCTGTTATGGCCACCCCTAGATTGCACAATAAGATTTTTCGATGTTTTATTTTTATGCAAAAATAACGCTGCCAATGCAATGAAGTCAGTACAGCTTGTGTGTAGTTTATATCGAAAAATCAACTTCGGGACTGGTTCTAGTCTCTTTTTTTTTAATAGAAGCCTCCTAACAATTTCTTGCTGCACTGCAATTTAAGTTTAATATAATTATGTTCGTCGTAACCTTGCAAAAAATAGTATCTATAACGAAGCATATAAAACCAATGCCCTTTACTTAATTTTATTTACTCAAAAACTGAGTAGTTTTTATAAAACAAAGTCCATACCTAAATAACCTATATTAGAGAAGGTGACATTATGTAGGTGATTCTATGAGGTAAAAAAACTTGCAAAAGAAATCATGATATATGTATATTATTTAAAAAATTAAGATAAACATTAGAGTTACCTACTTACAATTAGCTGTACAAGTTGATAAATAACGCGAATAATTAATTTCGAGGAGAAATTACAATTTTGGACTTTGGATGCGATACATTCCTAATCAGGTTATCATAAGAGCAAACATATTTACAAGTTATATTTTTTATTAAGAATATTCATCAGATAAAATTTTTAAAGATAATTCCATTATAGCAGCTATCTACATGTACATTCACAATAATTCAATCACTCCACATAAAATTATATGATTTTAAAGATTTCAAGCATAATTTTTGATACAATACTCTTCAACAAAATGTTTTCAAAAATATTATTTATACACAAAATGTAAAAGAAATGCAATTATTTAAATATGTGTTACATAAATCATTGTCAACCACCATTACAAATCTTCAATGATTAAATGTTAACAATGCAAATATGCATCCAATGAATCGTCAGAAAATGCAAGAAACTGTAACTTATAAACATAGACCTTAACTGGTTTTAGCATCCGAAATAAAAAAAAAATGAAGCAGCACTCTTTTCACGCATTTCAAAAATATTTGTAGGATGCCAGCTAAAAAATACTAATTTTGATTGACATGCTCAATTTTTTTTATGCAGAGATAAACAAACATATCATTATTACATAGAATACTACTAAAACCTAATGTTTAGATCTGAGAGGCAACAAAAACTATTTAGAGAATAATAATTTATAAGTGGCAACACTGCTGCTTTAAATATTTCCACATAGGAAAGCAATTCTATATGTAAAAAAAAAAGAAAATAATTTGAATATGAGAATTTAAACACCGGAAAGCTATGACTATTAAATTTGGAATGGATGATTCCCAAGCACATGTTACAAGATTGCAACTTGGGATGAAGAAGTGAATAAAGTAATATAAACACAGGTCAAAATATAATTGCTTTATCTACTCTCTACAGGGCTAGATATCAGCTAAAATGAATCAAAATCATATAACTGTTAAAGGATGTGTGTGCCTATTCACCTTTGAAATTGAACCTTAAGTAAATGAAATATCAATAAACATGTACCAAAAACGAAATTGAGACCTTACTAATCACCTATTTGAATATTATATATAGTAGTAACAAATATACAACACAGTACAAATTTCAAAGTTATCATAATGCAGTTGCTTGCACACTACATAAAACGTATACAAGCAGTTCAAATGGACATATGCAAGCAACCATACAAGCAACAAAATTTAGACTATGAGTCATACTCGAAATTTTATTGGATCTAACTACCAATGGTTCCTCCTTCGGCGTCGCTCATCAAAATAACGAACCAAGGTACAAATTTCACAATTAAAATACAGAATATTCATATTTAGTTGACCCTAACTAGCGGTAAACACCAACATTCATACTTATATACACATTTAAAAAAAAATGAAAGATTTCCAAAAAGCACTAACAGAATTTGCTTAGTTTAAGGTTGTCTTAGACCTCATTACTAGATACATTTTAACGTTAAATTCTTGAAATTATTAAACCCATATTATTTCTAGATCTATAGTTTTCATTCACGATAATTGAGTAACGCGTCTGTGTCCTGTTTATTCATTTATTCAAGAACTTAAACCACCTGTCCACTACAATTTTCTTCTACACCGATACGCGCTATTCATATCAAGTCCACATTCCATTCATTTAATTCAAAATTTTCAAATACAACACAGACACTTTTACAAACGCAAATTGAAAACTTAAAACTTACTCAGAGTTGATGGAACCTAAAACTAATCCACATTTCACGCCTGAAACAATCAGTCTTCTCATTGCGAAAATTATCATATTTTAATTAGATTTATTTACACATCTGTATGCCGGTAAATTATTTAACGATCACTAATTTATCTTAGTAATGCACCGAATTTCCATTTAACGTATCCTTTTGTTACTAGAGCAACGGCATTGAAAGTTAATAAAACATTTGTAATTTAATTATGTACATACCTACAACACTTAAAATTTTTAAATATTTCTGGAACCAATAATACGCCAAATAAAAACACGTCACAGCTATTACGAAATAAGTGCTGTTTCAATTGGGTATCCATTCACATTTAGTATTTCAGATTTTGCACTAATTTTTTTACACATTTTACCATCAAGTATTTTGATAATATACAAAGACTAAGGCTCTAAGCGTGATCACTATGGACGGGACCGAAAATGTAACGAACAATTACATATTTCTATCAAAAGAAATGAATGTTATTTATAAATTAATTTATGAGAAAAAATATTAACGGTGTAACCCGATCTAATGATGTATTTGTGTTTTGGGAATTTATTTACACAAAGTATATTTAATGATGACATGAAGACTGTTGCAGTGCGATATGGAAGTTAACTGGAAGTTTATGGCACTAATAAATAGTAATTTGTTTTTTTCCTTTTTCAAAAAAAAACAAATTATCTCAAGTAAATATTGTTGTAACTTCTAAGCTATTTGTTACTAGAAATTTATATTTTTTATGATAAAGGTAAACCAGGAAATGTAACAAATATATTCCATGTTCATATATGCTAATAAAGAAACAAAATATTTTATTTAAACAAAATTTTGTCTAAATTACAATTTATATAATTATTCATTTGATTCACAGTTATTACACAGGCTCCACGTGATATGAAAATGCGAATTAGAAGCCGAAATACAATCAAAAAAGGTTTAATCGGGAATACGATAATTAATTATTAAATGACTAAAAATACTACTCCAATTGATAACTCTAAAATAATAAGATGCATAAAATATTTCTAAAGCTAAATAGGGTAAAAATATTGTCGCATTAATCTTGCATGAAGTCTATGTTATTATGAAGTTATTGTTAGTCTATATTGTATGTATATATACATACATATTTTTAACAATTAGATGTAAACATGAGACAATCCTAAATAGAATTTAATTTAAAATATTATGTTAGATTCCTCCAGTACATAAATCAGTTGTGGTTATTGCAAAATATTGTCCAACTATTTACCAAGATACTGGAATTTAACATATGTCTAGCATTTTCTATCCTTGGATGTTTTAACTTTATGGTAAAGTTTTCGACATAATCTATACAATGTACATTGGTCTGAATACATCAACAACTAGATAAGTAATCAAAATTGTTTAGAATCTTTACATAACAAATATGACGCCAAAAATCGATCGATGAAAGGAGACGCATCTAAATTATAGATCAACAATAAAGTTTCAACATTGTAACAAAATTTCAATATAATGACCTAATTTTCCAAGAAGTTGTCTTGTTGTTGTGTTGTTCTTGTACAGGTTGTAAATAGTCTATTTCCTTTACGGATCCATTCAGAGACGACAATTAGCGCTTAACTGGCATTAAATTCGTCTACTGGTCAAGCTGTCTTTAAGAATGTACTGAAATTTTGAAATGAAAATTAATGTAAGACCTAATTGAGGTTTCGGGGTGGGGCCGGTAGCGTTAATATATCATAGTTCATTGGCTGTCCTTTTAACGTGAGAATCGATTGTACAGAGGAACAGAGTTTGTGCCTTGCCTTATAAAGTGTCACAATCGAACACACAGCTGTAGCACCGCGTAGCGTGTAGCGTAACATTCGCTTACGTCACACACTGCTGTAGCACCCACGCGGCGTAGCGTCCACTCACGCCATACACTTCATACAGGCTCTCCGTAGCGGAGCGGGCGCGGTTATAGTATGCCGTTGGTGTAGTACTGGTAGTTGTCGTAGAGGCGCGTAGACAGCGAGTGTAGCGCGTCGCGGACGAGCCGCTCTACGAGCGCCTGCAGTTGCGGCTCGGTGCGCCCTTCGTGGAAGCGCGCGCGGAACGATGACACCGCGCTGCTGCTACGGAGGCACGCCAATTGACCCCCTGCAAGCGGACACGTATATTTATACTTCCAATGGCAACGTACATTAAAAGGGTAACACACAAAAAAGTAATATCATCTTCTGTTTTGCTTATACAGCGTGTCGTTACCATCGCGACAATAAATGAACACACGTGTAACGCTACTTGCCAATAATCATAAAACAATATTAACGTTAAACAAAATCCATAGTTTAAAAAAAATATTTTTCAAACAAACTAATTAAATAAAAAAGAAACAAAATTTGTAACATCCTATACAACTCGCGCCACAGCGTCGCATTACAAGCCTCTCCTTCTAACAGTATGTTTTGTCTCTTTTAAATTCATTCAACTCATTCATATGCTTTGTGACCTTTACAAATGAACTTTACGTTAGAGTTTTATACGTAAGGTTGTTCTAAAATTGTTTGTTTTCGAAAATTTAATAACTCGGTAAATATTCCTGTTTAATAAATGTAAATGTTTAATACAATTTTAAAAAGTTATCCTCTATATGTGTGTTCACTTATTGTCGCGGTGGTAACGACACGCTGTATATTGCATGATTTCTTTTTTAATTTTTTTTTCATCAAACAATAACAAAAGTAGTCTGTAGGACAGTTTTTTGATGTTGAATGAATGGAAATCATCAGGTACAAAGTCCACAGTTGAAGTATAATACCTTTACGTTTCGTTCTACGAGTGTAGTTTATTAGTAAAACGACCACTCTTAAAGATCGGCAACGCATCCGCGAACCCACGGGTGTTAGTAAGTCCATGGGCACTGGAAATCACTTAACATCAAATGGACCGCCAGCGCAATTGACACCTTCTCATATATAATAAAAACAGCCTAAACATATATCTTAATGCTGGGCAAGGCCTCTTGAAAGAAGGCACAGCCTAATCATTGTGCTGACAGGGCTATGTGCTGATATCAACACTATTTCTATAGTGCATTACAATATTTTTTTTTAGTTTCGAAGTACATAAAACATGAGTTTCGATAAGTTTCTAACACTGACTGTTGACAGACAAAAAGGAAAATGAAAAGTAGTAAAGCTGATGGAAAATCGTACAGCATGTACAATTTTCTAAAAGCGATGAGATTTCATTTTAAATGAGATTTTTAATAGATAGAGATAAACGGCACCTTCTCTGTTTATCAAGTCACTGTTAAGATATACGCCATGTAATACGATAAGTTGGGAGTCCCTATATTCCGAACGTTTATCGAAACGGCGCACTGACCCATTCTCATAATTTCGACGAGATGTATGATCTGTTCGCAGTGTTTCCTAGCGGCGATCAGACCCTTCAGGATCAGGATCTTGAAATACTCGAACATGTCGGAACCCTCGCCGTCCATCACCTCCACGAACTCCTGCGTCAGCTGTAACGGAGATTATAACTTAAATCACCGATTAACATAAATGGTCGAACAATTGGTTTTACAACAACCCGAGCTCAGAGAGCATAAGTCAATCGCATTTGAAAAGCTCAAAGGTGTTTCCCAAGCGAAACCCATTCCCTTATTTTTTTTTAATCGATTTACATATCGGACGATACAATAATTAATGAATACATTGTTGAGCACAACATCAAGTATTGTCGCTTTTAGATAGTATGGTTAATAAACTTAACACCTAAGCAGACCGTACCCATAAATATACTTTAAATATATGTACCATATAAGAAAAATTAAAATATTTAATAATAGCTGCTACCCACCCGCGACTAGGTCTGCGTAGAATAGGCTGAATGCGTAACATTTAGACATATATAAATAAAGATATGTATATAAATTATAGCCTATATATATATATTTTTATGTAAAAAGTTGTCAAGCGTGCAGACGGTTCACCTGATATTAGGTGAATACCGCCGCCCATGGACATCTGCTACCTGCTAACGCATCTGTAACTCCCCGAGCGGGTAAATGCGTTGGCAACCTTTTGAAAATTGGGCTCCGGCCACCTCACTCACCAGACGAAACGCGAAAGTATTATAGCTCCACTTTACACCGGTTTTCTGTGAGGTCGTGGTACTTACCCGGACGAGCCTGCCCATTCCAACCGAGGCTGCTGCGTGGGCACACAGCCCTGCCACCGCCTATATGTTATTCTGTTGTAAAACCTACATTATTGTTAGTTTCATTAAAATCCATTCAGTAGTTTTTGCATGAAAGAGTAACAAACATCCATTCATACAAACAAACTTTCGCGTTTATAATATTAGTAAGGAAAGGATTCCATTACCTTCGAAACACGCAGTTAACTAATCTCACTTTGTTCTTGGCTAAAGATTCAAAGCACAGAACAACTGTTTAACCATTCGTTTTTGCTTGGTGTGAATTCTTTGATTAGTATATTCAAGCTTTTGCTAGGTAATACAATTAAATGAAATAAATAATCACCTTGAATGGCGAACTTTCGAAGCCGAGATTCTTCGGCGACGTCGAGAATATGAATCCGAAATCGATGTGTATTATGTGGCCAGCGCTGTCCAACAGAATGTTCCCATTATGCCTGCAAAGGAATGAAACGAACAAACAAAGTAAATATAGTATCATATCAGTAGTGCTTATTTAGATGTTTCCTCACGTTTTGAGTTAACAAGTAACACAATATGTGTGTTTTTCGTCTAAAGGATTTTCTACGTGCAAAAATATTGATCCGCGTACTCATCAGGAATAAGTACTCATCTCTGATGCTTTTATAGAGATTAAGAGTACCTGTATTTTTGGTCTATAAATTATCTTATAAAGTATAAAATAAAACTTATGCAACGTTAAAGCGAGACACACCATTACAACATTACATAATTAAATTACATTAAAAGATATAATGTACAAGGAAAAACAATTATTCAATAAACATTTTATTTTAATGTTTCAGATACTTTAACGTGTGATATGTATAAAGGACTATGTATGTCTGGTTATGAACAGCCACCATAACGCACCGTGTATCATCATTGTTGGTGTACAGTGATATCATAAAATAACTAGTTGACCCGTCAAACGTTCTTTTGTCATATAAATTATTTTTAGGGTAGAAAAAAATGTTTGGGGTGGACCGACCTTAACATTTAGGGGGATGAAAAATAGATGTTGTCGTTTCTCCACCCTGGCCGATGTGCACATAAAATTTCACGAAAATCGGCCGAGCCATTTCGGAGGAGTTCAATTACAAACACCGTGACACGAGAATTTTATATATTAGATAGATAATTTTAAAGATGAAGTCGACATCCGAGTAGGTGATTCACCCTATTATTAACGATTACAGCCGCCCTTGGTCATCCACAACAAGTCCAACACATCATCAACCTTAAAGACTGTGGGCCAACATTCACAAAAATTCTTTACACAGATGTTTCATGATGTCGTTATACTTTCCATCATACAATAGCAATAGCCGTGGCAATGTCACATCACTACGCATCAAGATATCACGGAACATATACCTTGGCGAGTCTGGATCTACTAAGCCCGAATTATTACGTGTGTGCGCATCCCTATTTACGAAAGTGTGCGTGCGTATACGTGCGTTCGTATTCGTGCGTACGTATGCGTGTGTAATGTTTCAAGGATTCAATCGGGGGCCTTTCAAAAAAAGTTTTTATGTGAGGGGTGGCAAGAGAGCTGGCGGTTCACCTGGTGTTAAAGTGATAATCGCCGCCCGTTGGGTTTCCACCTTTTAATAGAATGGTATAAGTGTGCCAAGTCATGAATTTAATAATTACGGCTCAATGTAAAAGGCAAGTGTCACGCGCTGTAGGTTGCCTCAAAGTACCTTGAGACGTATGAGCCGTCAAAAATATTGAGTGGACTTTAGGGGTGTAGATGATAAGCGACATACATAGAGCACATTTAACACGCACGTGCATGTGCGCGCGTGTGTGCGATGCACACACACTTTCGTCCGCGTGCGTGCGAATACGCACGCGAGCGTACGTATGCGGGTGCATTGGTGTGCGTGCGTTAGTATTCGGGTGCATTATTGTGCGTGCGGCAGTATACGGGTGCATTGGTGTGCGTGCGGAAGTATACGGGTGCATTGTTGTGTGTGCGTACTTTGCCGGTGCATTGGTGTGCGTGCGTAAGTATGCGGGTGCGCTCGTGCGCGTGTTCCACACCTGTCCTTGAGCTGCAGCAGGTAGCTGGTGAGCGCGTACGCGGCCGCCGACTCGACGAAGTTGTTCTGCGCGCGGAGGAAGCCCTCGCTGTTGGGCGGGCCGTGCTCCAGCTCCAGCCACGCGCGCAAAGACTTGCCCGACTGCTTCTTGATCTGGTGCAGCGACACAGAGTTCAGCACCTGCGGCGGGACAGTCTCTTTGTAGCAACGGACGGTTCCCGGATTCGAAAATTCTAGATTAGACCAATATGGATAATTAAAAAAAAAAAACAACGTACGTGTGTACTTTATGTACTCCCGTAAGAAGTTGTATTTCTTTAGCGTAACGGAAAAGAATCCCAAATACGTCAAAACAAGTATAACTTGAAAAATTTCAATAAAGTTTATAAAAGATATATGTATATGTAACTGTAATGGAATATCGCTTCTTTTCATCCGCTTCTAATAATTTTATATCCATATTAAGAACCGATGACTATACAATATTTTGTATTAACTTTATAACAAAGCATTTATTCCTATCGAGAGCAATTCTTTTGAAGTGGATCCCACATATGAACTGGAGAGTGAAAAACTTTAAATGTTACGCTCAAAAATGCATGGTGTCCTTAAGTTGTGTTAATTTTGAAGCCAACGTAGCGAAGCGTTCGTTGTTATTGCTGATCCACTAAATTAAACATTCTGGAATATTTGCTCGTGACTTATTAGGTTTCATTATCTTGTACAAATGCATGCATTAAAGCTATATTTATAATGCAATTAATGCTATGGGTAATTAAATTATAAATTTTATGGTCGCACGAGGAACCATATTGATATAAGCCATTTATTACATAAGGTTATATATACATATTATTTAAACATGAACTGAAATAATATATATTCGCAAGCAAATTATAATTACTACATATTAGTAGCTATTGTTTTACGAGGAAATAGCCAAATGGTTTTAGGTATGGGGTTTTACGTATACACATTTCACCCAAGTGTGTATACGTATGATGTGCGTGCACGTGCACGATCAAAGATACGCCGCACATATCCGCCGTGTGTAAAAACATTTGATATCATAGCACGTACGCATTCAGATGCGTGGAACGCCGTCTGCCAATCGTACACAACAATTTCTGCGTGTGTGCGAATTGTGCTCGCGTCCGTTGCTGGGCCACCGTCAAAGCGCCGTAACCCACACACACGCACGCTCCCCAATCGCGTACGTACACGGACCGCGCGCGTGTGCGCGTGTCAAACACTCACCGGCTGTATGAGTCCGCACTCGCGGTCCAAACACACGATCTCGTACGGTCGGAGGCGCAGCGGCACGCGCTCCGCCGCCCAGGCGGCACGCAGCCGCCGCAAAAGCTGCGCGGCGAGCAGCTCCTGGCGGAGGTCGTCGCCGACCTTCACTATGCAGCCCAGCAGCCGCCAGCCGCTTAGAGCGCCGTACTGGGAGGAGGACCGCATACGCGCCAGCTTGCTCTCCCACGACTCCTGCAATGGTGAGGCGTTCCTTTTGTGACACTGGCCGGCAGTAACGGAAACAGGAGTCGGCAACTGCGAGCGCCCGAGTTGGCAACTAAGGAAGCCCTGAGTCTCAGCCCCTCATCGACCCTCAACTTCGCAAGATTGTTGGTTAAAATTGATCTTATGGCTCTTACCTTAAGATTGAGAACGGAGAGATTGGCGGATTGACCGTGGCGACGCGAGTGCGTATGCAAAGGAAAATGCACCTAATGCGAATTACCTTAAGTCTGTGTGGCTGCAGCCGAAAAAAAGGCACGCTGCTCACAAAAGCAGACTTATTAAAATGGACCTTACGGCGCTAACCTTAAGGGATCGACGGAGTCGTGGCGGAACGCGTGCGTATGCAAGGGAATTATTACCTTAAGTCTGTAGATATCTGCAGCGAAGAGTGAGCAAACTTAAAAGTGGACCTTATGACGCTTACCTTAAGAGCGAGAGCCGAGGGGTCGACTGATTCATTTGATGCCGGAAGGTGTGCGTATGCAAGGTAAAATGGACCTTGTGACCCTAACCTTAAGAGCGAGAGCCGAGCGGTTGACTGATTGATGGCGGAAGCGTGCGTATGCAAGGGAAAATGGACCCTGTCACGCTTACCTTAAGGGCGAGAGCTGATGGGTCGGCGGGGTCGTGACGGAACTCGTTGGGCGGCGGCGCCGCCGTCGCGTCCGCCAACCGCCTCCGCACCTCGCCCGCACCGACCGCCAGAGACTCGCGCGATCCGCACGACGATGTCGACTGCGCAGACGCGACCGACATGCCGGACATCTGGCGAGAGCGAAGCGAACTAATCAAATATACGAGTGACTAAACATTTTCGGACACACTTTTTACTCAACGCCCTCTAGTCCCAACCTAAGCAACCCTTTTATTGTGGGTACTAGAAAACTGATAAAAATACTTAACTATACATATAAAATATACATATATAAACACCTTGACACTGGAAAACACTATGTTCATCACACAATATTTTTCCAATAGAGGGGATCAAACCCACACCCTCTGTCGCAAAAGGCAGGTCACTACTCCCTACATAAATCGATTCGTCGAAAACTAGTCGATGACTCCGTGGCCGTTGGCCAGGCATTGGTTTCCCGGGTGGGTCCCGAATGCCCGTGACATTTTGCATAAAAAGGCGTTGGTAGGCAATAAAATGAGGGCGTTTGGAACACACCGTAGGTTGCTCATGAAACACTAAGGTTTCTTTATTCGAAAAAAAGGAGTAAGAAAAACAGAAATCATTAAGTTTATACGAATTGCAGGTCGGTTTAATGCTTATTGCGCAAGGCGGAGCTCAGTTTACGGACCTTCTTCATGTAGAAATAATGCAAATAAAGAAGTTTAGAGATATGTGGCATTTAAATAGAAAACATTTATTTCATGTCTTTACAGTCACGTCGAAATTTTAAGCACGTGTCCATGACTGTAATTCTAAAAGATAACGAAGGTTTAGATATATTATGTCTTAAAAAAAAATACATTTCCTGTCATTACGGTCACGAGTGCTATATTTAAGGTGTGTCGTCGATGACTGTACAAAAATGCTTACTTCATTTTTCACAGCTAAAATATATACTTCATTATATAGCACTTTTTGTAAGAGATCGTAATAAATTCTTATATTTACTTCAAATGTTACACAGACAAAAAAAACAATTAACGTATTTAATTAAGGTTGACCCTGAACACTTCCACTTCCAATATTATGAATGAAAAAAGCTTGGCAATTTTGTACCATAAAGAAAATAAACGAGTCAAAAACTAAATGGGTTTCCATTATGAAATGAACATGGCAAATGCAAATGGCCGACAATATTTAATGCGTTCTTTTTTTTTTTTTTTAATTTCGATATATATTATTCACAGCGCACCAAATTGCCGGTTGGACACTTTGCCCCGACGTTAGGTGATAATATTTAGACTTCAATCTCGCTGAAAACAAGAATATTTTTTTATTTACAGTCCAATCTCTTTCCGAGTTCGAGATATTCTAATTAACGTTTTTATTCCAATAATTGGACAGGATTTTATTACTGTATTTCAAAGTGAATAAATACTGATTTTTATTTCTGCATGAATGAACGTTTATATTATAATAATTTTTAACAAATTATATAGAATTAAAATGTTTATAGAGCTATTCTCTACGCTTAGGATGTAACATAAAAATGTGTAGAAATACCTTCTCGACTATTTTTTTCTACAAATTTTAAATCATATAGATATCTTTATTATATTATTCCCAAATAAGTTTTCCAAAAATCTAGAACTCTATCCGAAGAATTGTTTGCAATAATGTTGTGTCTGTTTGACTGTATTTGCAGATAATGATAACAGAATTTTGTCGGTCTGATTCTGTCACGGCTTCATTTATGTTAATGGACTCTATCGACAACTACTGTCTAAGTGTACACATTTTGTATTATTTGCCTAAATGGTATTTTTGCAATTATGACAAATGAATTTATTATTAAATTTGAATTTTAGTCGGCAATCAGGTCGAAACTTATACGTGAGTTTAACAGATAACTTGTAAAAAAAATCTCGCTACCAGAATTCGAACTTGAGTCTTTTGGTTAACGCGGCTCTAGTATGGCACGTATGGTAACATATGGCAGCGCCGAAAATTTTCCTTTATGGTAGTTTTTGTATTTGATCAACATTAATGTAACAAATAGTTGTAGCATTACTTTATGGGACAGAACTTTTCAGTTATAGAAAGTAATAATATGTGAATATTTTCATTAGTACGATATGATGTTGTGTAAAAAAAAATTGATAGGACTAAAAGTTTTAACTGTCAAATTATGCTAACATCTTGGATTCAGCGGTCACGGGTAGTGGGCACATTAGGGTCCGGTATTAATATGACCCAAAGACGATCGTCGACGACCTGGATGTTTGTCCATGTGCAATACTAGTAATGTAGAACTTGTAATGAATATTACATAACACATGCAACCCGCGTTATAATAAATGAACAAAAGAAGTAAAAATTTTATTTATTGTTTAATACTTATTGACGAGTTTTAGATTTATTCATTCGCATTTCGAGCGGAGTAACAGAGAAAAGTAAAAAAAATGTTCACCCCTTCTTAGGGGATTTTTTTTACCTTCTCTGTTAAAATACAAAAAGCGGAAAGGGGGAGAGTGAACTCGCCTGCGACACGCTATCAGGGACGCGAGACACGAAATGATCACTACGACGTATGGCACGCTGTTTGTAAAGGTTTAAAGACGGCGGGACGCGCCTAACCTGGGTCATGCTATCGTGGGGGGGGGGGGGGGGGGGGGGGGGGGGGGGGGGGGGGGGGGGAGGCTAAGACGGTGAAAGAAGTCGGCGCACACACTACTAGGGATGACGATGCGAATGACGAAGGTGCAATACGTATGGCCCGTTGTCGAGGCGGCGCCGCGGCGAGGTGCCTCTCTGAGTCACGCTTAGGGAGGAGGGGGCGGGAGGGGGGGAGGGTGTCAAGAGGGAACCAAGTTGGCGCTCGCCTGCGAGACGCTATCATGGAGGGGGAGATTGTGAACGAGATCGGCGTAGGTACACATTACCACGGCTGCAAACCACGCAGAGGTATGGCGCGCTGTCTGTGAAGGTGCGGAGAGCATATAGCAGTGGCGCCCCTAATCTGAGTCACGCCTAAGGAGGGGGTGGGGGGAACGGGAGAGTAGACGAAGTAGGCGCTCACCTGCGACACGCTTTCAGGGAGAGGACGTGCAACTTCACGAAGTTGGGGCTCATCCACGACATCTTATCAGGGAGTGGGGGGGTGGGGGGTTTCGCTCACCTGCGACACGCTGTCCGGTGCGGGCGCCCTCGCCGCGTACTGAGCGCCGAGCTCCTCCTCCTCGTGGCTCCAGCAGTCGCCCGCGTCCGCGTCGTCGAGACCGCTGTAGAGCGATAGGGCGGGCCACTCGGGCACCAGGTTCTCCTCGCTCTTCGTGTGCCGTATGGGCGGCGAGTGGGGGGCGGGCGGCGCGGGCGGCAGGAGGCGAGGCGGCAGCGGCTCGTGCCCCTCCGTCTCCAGCACCTCCACGTACATTATGTACGGCGCCTGCGGGATTGCGCCGGAGTGACGTTAGCACCGTATAAGTGGAGAGAAACTTGCAATGGAGGACGGTGACCTATTGGGGCCGGTGGCCATACTGGGCAACAAATGATTTCATCGTAAATACATGCTTAACTACTACATGCTTAAGTCTACTCGGCGTTACTCAGTGACTTTTCAAATGGATTTATTAATTATTGTAAGTTTATATTTGATAGTCTGCATTTAAAAATCATCAACAACAACGCTTGAGGAAACAACAACCTGTTAATCCCACGCATCGGTTAACAAGGTCACCGCCTCCCACTGAGCGGAACGGAATATTATAGTAAATAGTTTCTAACTCATCGTTTGCTATTTTAACTTATTTTAATTTTCGTTCACGACAACTATGTCGTAAACTATTAAAGCTGTAGAAATATGCGGGCTCGTCCGGGGAAGTCGGTCTTACAGAAGACCAACGTGAACTGACACTTTTTCGATTCTTCGGGTAAATTATCTAACCTTAATATAAATTCGCTACAATTCCTAAGGAGGGTTGACATGGAGAGCTGAAGTACCATGGTTCCGAAAATAAATGATGGATATGTTGTGCCGAACCCACTTAGGGTGAGGATAAGGGCAGGAAAAAGAAGAGTAAGGGTAAATTATCTAACCGGGTCACAATCTATTAAAGGTTTGCAACGCATTTTCCACCGCACAGGTAACGTGAATGCAATTTTCACAAAAAAAATTGAAAGGAAAAGATAAAGTCAAACGTTTCTATAATTGAACAGAACGGGAGAGATCAGCTAAAGCTGATGTTAATCATTGACAGTTATCAATCCCGTAAATTATTATTATTAGGCAGTTTTCAGACAACAACGTGAAAGAACTGTCTGTATACAGAAAACTGTCTATTATACATACGAGACGACCTCTGTTCACAAGTCAACGTTCCAGCCAATGCTCTATATAACACTGAACAATATGGCATTACACAATACAATCCAATTGTGATGCCAACTGGCATTATAATAAGAAACCCCGCGAAGCAACGGGAACGTGGAAAAACTACTTATGTAAAGAGATTGGCCGTAATTCAATTGACGATTCGCATCGTGACATTACAAGAAATGACGAGTGGTAGTGGTAATAGAGTAAAGTTTGAGAGCTATGCCGCCGAGTCCTACGCATCGTACGCCTCAGCGCAATTACCAGTCAACATTCGAAATGGTAAGATGGGTGGAGACGACAAATTGTGACATAAAGAAGATGCTGTTATATAAGAAAATAATAATAAAATACCAACTGACAAAGACGAAAGGAAAAAAGAAAATCGAGGCACACAAAAACGCCAGGAAGATTTTAGTGACGTATATTTCTAATAACCATTAAAAAAACATTGTTATGAATAAAAGTGCTAGGACGATTGAACAAATAAGAGACTGAAATTTTCCTTCACTTGTATATAAAACCATGTTTCCTGATAAATGTCACAATCCTGTAAACAGAAAGTTACCTAAATATTTTGAGCTAGTTGGCTCAACACATTACACAACTGGCTGCTTCAATTGCATTGACGTAGAAGCCTGAATATTATCACCGCGAATAGACCGTAGACCGTTTGATTTGATATAAATTTCTACTAGATACCATTTCGGGTTCCTGAAGAAAGGTATGACCGCGGGTAAAAACACCGAGAACAGAGTCAACAAAACAAAATCACATATCTCCACCAATTCCTAAATAAACACGTGACATAGTGGACGAAGGGTCAGAGAACGGTCAAGAAAACAAAATCACTCTATACCAACTCAGGTTACTGAGTAAAAACGCGTCATAGCGGGCGAAGAGACGGATAACAAAGTTAACAAAAAAAAGTTGTGTACTGATCTATGCGCGTAATAAGTTATACTTTTTTAGCGTAACAAAAGAAAAATAACTAATAATTTTATCCCCTTTACCAGTACTCCGTTTGTGAAAATGACAGTAAATGTCAAAAAGTTGTTCTGGTCGCCATGGTAATAGCGTGAAGTTGGTGGCTTTTGCAAGCAATTTCATCATGACGCTTTTTAGCTGACGGTGAAATATTTTTTAACTATATATATTTTTATAACTTAAAAAATCGAGCGTTCCCAGCGATCACGGTGCCCTGAAGCCCTGTCGAAAACGTAGCATCAGCATAGCCAGTTACTAGACTCCATAGAGAAACTCGTTCAAAAAAAAAGTTATATACTATATAACATTTTGATGAAAAAAAAATGTTAAAAGAGAGGATAGGCGGAGTTTCTCTCGCCTGTTTTTTCTCCGTTAGATTTTTCCTCATTTAGATCTTTAAAACAACCAACAGATCTTGATGCAGTTTTTTTACTCGATTGAGTGATTCAAGAGGAAGGTTTATATCTTTACTTCCTTACTAATATTATAAACGCGAAAGTTTGTATGTATGGATTACATGTTTGTTAATCTTTCACGCAAATACTACTGAATGGATTCTAATGAAACTTTACAATAATATAGCTTATACATCAGAATAACACATAGGCTATAATTTATATACTTATTTTTATGTATATCTGTCTTTCTGTCTTTATGTTACGTCTTCAGCCTATTCTACGCAGACGTTGCCACGGGCAGCAGAGCTAGTGTATAATACATTGCACCCGTGCAAAGGCGGGGCGGGTCGCTAGTGAATGAATAAATGATTTGATTTGGTCGTGCCGTTATGGTATCCTACCTTCCCCATATTGAGCGACAGACACATATGGGGCTCGTGACGTGTGCTGTGCCAATTGCACCGGCCCAGCACCATGTAGTAGAGGAGGCCAAAAAGGCCACAGTCGCGCCGTGGTCGCGGAAGATTGCGTCCACATGTTCCCGTGTCCCCGGCCGATACGACAGAGACAGGTGCAACGCGGGTTTTTTTAGTGGGTACCCGTCTCTCACCGGCACTCCCGCATACCGCTGCCACTCCCCCGATCCAGGGGCAGGGGATCCGTAAAGGGTTTTTCCCACGGAAACAAAAAAGGGTATCCCACCTTGTCCTTGCTGTTCAGCACGGCCGCCGCGTGGTACGGTATCCGGAGCACGTGGTGGGGCCGCTTGTGCAGCGGCAGCCAGACGCGCGCCGGCAGGTTCAGGTCGAGGTCCGCCAGCTCGGCGCGCAGCCAGCCGTTCCGGCACTGCTTGTCCGCGACGCCGGCGAGACGGCGGCCGATGTTCGTCAGCGCCGTCAGGAACTGGGAGCGGTAGGCGGCGTCATCAGACCGGGGCGGTTAGGTTAGGGGCGCGGGGGGGGGACGGGGGTTGTTTTGAGTGCCGCTGGGTTACACCATTATCAAACGAAGTCACGGGGTTTTTTATTGTGAGACGGTGGCAAGCGAGCTGGCGGTTCGCCTGATGTTAAGCGATAACCGTCCGCCCGTTGACATATGCAACAGCCGTAGGTTGGCAGATGCGTTGCCACCTTTTAAAGAGGGCCCCGGTTACCACACTCGCCAGACAAAACGGAAACCGAAGGGAAGTGGAAGTGTTATACTTCTATAACACTTCCACTTCTCTTCGGTCTTCTGTGAGGTCGAGGTACGGAACCGACCTGCCCATTCGTGCAATAGCGAAGACTGGTGCATGGCCCTACACTCTTCACTCTCTTTAGCACCACACTTCTCTCTCTTTTTTTTAATATATCTCTTACTGTAGGATGATCACATTATCCTGAGTTGAAAGAACGTTTTACAAATATAAATTTCACGTGAACAAATTCCCAGATCCGAAACAATTATCTATGGGTCACACAACGACTCCCGGCGTCTTAGCCATTGTACAACTGACCTCAGAGTCATCACTAATAGTACTTTATGACGTGAAATTTATAAGACGAAATAAGAAACCGTATTTTAAACCATGTTCAGTAGTAGTAAAGACAAGTCTTTCCTTTTCATTATTTTATTTTCATTTTTCTACATCCTTTGATTGGTAAATAAACAGTTTGCAACTTATTTATTTTTTATTTATTTAATCTTTATTGGTCACCTTCAGTAAAACAAGGTAACAAAGGGCGGACTTAATGCCCAAAGGCATTCTCTACCAGTAAACCCAGGATGTGGTGAGAGTTTATGATAGGTGCAGCAAAAGATGCCAGAATAATAAAATTTTAAATAAAGAGAATAAATATGAAAATAACAATATGAAATATATAGTAAATAGCATTTATTATAATTGGATACAAATAATATATAAAATTATATACATGTATCTATATTATGTTGTAATTATATATAATTATAATGTATGTTTTTTTTTTAATTCTTATCCTTAACAAACATTGCCCGTACTTTAGGATAACATTATCCTGTGCTGTAACGTTAGGACGTTATACAAAATTTCACGTGGACGAACCCCAGATGAGAAACCACTATCTGGGGAACCCACGACCCACAACGCCGAAGCCAATAAATACCTTGACAACTGCGCCACGGAGTGTCATCAAAATTGTTATTTCTCAAATTCCCGCGATACATTCCAAGTTGTGTTCAAAATACGTCTGTGTCTCAACAATGAACTTCTCCTTTGAACTACCCTACGTATTTTCGTGCTGGGAACGGAAAGAAGACGCAAAATCCACAGCCATCGATCAATTACTCTATAGCGTGAGCCACATGATAGTAGATAGTAGCGATTGCCGTACATCGGAAAAAATATCAGCGTGTTGATTTTTTCTCTCAAGAAATCCAAAAAAAAACTAAAATTATGGAGAACCGAAATCGATGTAACCCGCCTCAGTCGTCTGTCTGTCCGTTAATTATGTAAATTACTACCATTTAAATTAAAACAAGATAAAATCTGTTAAGTGGAAAATTAGGCGCCATGAAATTGAGAAAGTTAATGAATCGCGACGTAGTTTCGCAACAAATCGCCATAACGGTACAGAGCTAATTAAAACAGTATGAGGTTTTTTATAGGTTTTGCCAACACTATTTTTGCTAAGGATAGCGGTGAACTTATTCGGGCGATTTGTTCATACATCGATTGCTTTGTATGGCTTTATTGTTTGGTTGGTTCGACGGCGATTACACATGGTGATAGACCAAAATGTAACTGTAAACAATTGTGAGTAATTAGATTCTAGGTTATGTTCGTAAATAAGGATTTCGAAAAAAGTTCTTTCGAGAGACAAACATATTTTTTTCAAAAGAAACAAACATATTATTTATTAAGTATTTCGAAAGACAAACGTGTAATTTTTGTATGATTAACAAATATTTTCTTTTCTAGAACAAAATAAAATAACTGATACATTAGATGTCGTATTGAACACATAGTTCCTACTAAATGAGTAACTTCACAATGGAAAAAAAATATTAACATTTAGAGAAAAATACAGATACCGCGAAATAATTAAAAAAATGCCACAAAATAGTTAACATGAACATAAATTTATTCAGCTTAGCTACCAGAATAAAACTTCGTAAATAAGAATGAGAATATATATTTACATAAAGTTTTCTCCTAAATGGTAATCATACTGATCGCAACTAAGAGAAAGTACAAGCACATTTTAATATACCATCTATTCAATTAGATTATTAAGATAATTTCATGAATTACTTCAGCATAGGTGTACTTGCTTTAATAAATGAAAAGATGAAATATGATGAATAGATCAATGCAATTTTAAGTACTTACACACACACACACACACACACACACACACACACACACACAACACACACACACACACACACACACACACACACACACACACACACACACACACACACACACACACACACACACACACACACACACACACACACACACACACACACACACACACACACACACACACACACACACACACACACACACACACACACACACACACACACACACACACACACACACACACACACACACACACACACACACACACACACACACACCACGACACGCACACACACACACACACACACACACACACACACACACACACACACACACACACACACAACGCGCGCGCAAAAATTTCTTTCAAACGCAAAAACAAAACACCCTTTTATACCTCCACTCCAGATAGCTTATTTATCCCTATAGACACGACAAATGTGTGATTTTAGCACGCAAGGAACGCGAAGAATGATTAACAGCCGCCAGGAATCGAACCAGGGCGCTTACGATCACAACAACGACCGGCCACTGGACTATCGAAAGCATTCATGTACAAAGTATCGTATATATAATATGCTGAGTGCTGTAACGTAAATATATTAGATGCGGGTTCACCTTCGGCTAAAGACGTAAGCAGGGCACCATGACCCCAATTTTGAGGTTAAATTTAATAAACTGTAGAGTAAGCCCGATTAACCGCCTATTGCTTCATGGAATCCCGTACATCCAAAAGGACGCCGACGATGACCAATTTGCAATGAGTCACTGATCGACGAAAAAACGTGTAATTTAATTTAGAATTATTTAATAAAAACATATTACACTCAAGGAAATATATAATTATTTAGAATACTAATCCAGTTCGCTTCTGTTTTATATTACTTAATTTGAATATAAACGTTTAACATTATTCAGTATTAACAGAATGTTTTCGTGATGGCAAATGACACGCCAAACAAAACCATTTATATTATCACGTTTTATTTGCATTACTTATAGTGCCCAAAAGCGTAATGGAGGAAATTTACGAAGCAGCATGTTAGAATTGAAACTATTGTAAACAATTTTAAATCTAAAGCTAGAGTATTTTTATTCGCCAACGCGACAGTTGAACATTGATGAATACGAGAACTATGCAATTATTAAGAAACTGTTTCTAATAGAGTAATATTACGTTAGATTGTATTACCTTCATCGGATCGGCCTGATACCGGGAACCGAATCCTAAGACCGTTATATACTTATGATCAGTCAACGACCATTTATCTTATCTAGTAAGCTTTACTATCTGTTAATATCACTTTAAATTATGATAGGTAGTTGGAAAACAACAGCTTTCACGTCTTGAAGCCTAACGGTGTAGGCAAATCTATATGTTAGAAATAAATCGAAACATCGAATGGCGACACTGCAACGGGCTATAAAACGAGCATTGCTCACCGTGTTCGGACCAGTCAGATAATAGCTACCGATCGAGCCGAGGTCCGGCCCTCTCGGGCACCCTCGAATCGGAATGCTAAACGCGTGTTGAGTGACAGCCCAAGCCGAGGTCCCCCTCTCGGGGACCCTTGAGCCTGATCACTCCATGGAGCGCCCGCCAAAGCGCCCTAAGAGCTTGGCGGCCTCCCAACCCGGTAACAATAATAGCGTGACGGCCCGAGCCGAGGCTCCCCCGGGAGCCCTCGAGCTTAGTCACCATAACGCGTAATAATAGTACGCCGAGGTTCAGGCTAGGCGCCTCGTGCGCCAGGCCACCTCAAGTCCGTCGGATCTGTAAAGGCCCCTACGGCCAACAGTGAGAAACGTAGTTTGGCTTACTGGCCAATAAGCCCTTTTAAAAAATCAGTTGTCGTTTTTATTCTAACAATATCTTATCCTTTAAACGAGCAATTCTTGTGTATATATATATATATATATATATATATATATATATAGTTATCCGTTCTAGGAGTTGTTTGATCCAGCGTTACGTATGATCAGTTTTTTGTTGATCCACTCAAATTTGTTGATCCATACCCGATTCGTTGATCCAATACCATATGTATGTGACAATACTGTATCTCGTGAATGTGATATTTGTTGAAATACATGCTTTAAAGGGCCAGCAATATTTAGCGCTCGCGCGCTTTTCAGATTCACATGCTATACAACCATTATATTTTAATGTAAATTCGTTGCGCGCGTGATGGATTATTTAAGAATTTACATATAATAATTAATAAAAAAAATATTGGTATCAATACTCAACAGTTAATTATTTAATTCATGTATAAAATGAATGTACTTCAATATTTAAAAAATAATGTTGAAGAATAAATAAGACTTGGAGTGTTCTAGTCGTATCTTCAGTAGTTTATAAGTAATTTTCATAGCAAAGGAGAATACCTGATAGGTAACAACAAGTTCAAGTCTACAATAATTTTAAAAATTATATAAAAAAGAGAAACATAACATACAAATTTTTTCGTAATTCGTTTGTTTATAAAGAAGCGTCTGTTCACAAAACCAAATAAAAAATTATAATTTTTTTATGATATAATAACATGATAAATTATGATTTTAATAAAATGGT